ATTATGATTTAGAGTGAGAGTTACAGTAAGTCCTGATGTGACTTCAGGAAACATTTGGATAACTTCCCAGTGAGGGTTTTGCTTAAGACTGTTCGGAAATGGCAGAGTGTGAGTGATGTCTTGGATAAATCTCTGGCAGGCCATCTCGATTAAGCTTTCCTGGTCCATCTTTTCCCTTCCTCACAAATCTTTTGACTACGTGTTGAAATCGTTGCACATAGGCCAGTGTGGACACGCTGATGTGATTACAAGACTACTGGCACAGCAGTCAAGCAGTGGATGAAAACACATTTTCCAGGGAAAAGGCTTCATGGTTTAGGAATTAAGTGTAATATGATTTCATTGTAGGTTAAGTAAGGGGGGATTCCAGATCCTTAATTCAACTCGAACTCTGGACTGGAGTCAAGCAGAGCTGACAGGAGTGTGTTTCATTGGGCTCTTCATTAGAAAATCTCTCTACCGTATGGTCAACATGGGCCAGTGACAAACAGATCATTATCTAGTGAATTCTTAGTAAAAAAAATACATTATATATGATGTCTTATAAAGTAGATTTCAAGAAGAATAAATATTGATAATCCTAAATTGTATTTCCGCAGAATCTGGAGGTTCAAACAGATGCATCAATACTTAAAACTCCTGCAAAAGAATCAGTGAAATGTCCTTTCACTGAAAATCTCGCTTCATATTCTATTCACCTCCCCTCTCCCCAAACACTGCAGCGTTACCAGATGTGTTGTTTCACTCATCTGATGCATTCAAAGGTCAGCTGTGCTAATAACACAGAAAAGGACAGAGCGCTGTTAATTACAGTCTGTCTGAAAGTCAAAGACCACGGTGCTGGAAGAGAGCTCGTCCTCCCTCACACACACGCTCATTAGAGGACATTACCCCGTAACGGCTGGGAGTGAACTAACGGCGGTGTAATGAACTCGGTTGCTGCTGTTAGATTTGGACAAAGAGATGCAACAACCTGCCTCCCTTTCACCTCCTATGCACAGAGTCTGTAAAGGACAACTTCTCAATCAGGAGTAAAGAAAGCTAAGCCTGTGTTTGCTGTAAAAATCCTGATTCGCCACATCGTAAACGCTCCAAGGTGAGCTGACTTCCACATATTCTGAAAGAAGCGATGGCGGCAGCGTGCAGAGAAGAACATTTTCAGCTTTTTAATGAGCCTTGCTTTCTTTCAACAATCTCCAATAACAGTATGAAAGAAATCCTTTTTCTTTTTTTGTACCTCATGCTGTGCTTCTACGGGCCTTTGAAGAAAGTGTCACCTACAGATGACAGAGGAAGTGTGCACTGTGTGATTGGATAGATTATGTAAGAGGATGTATGTCTTCAAGGGTTAAGGAAAATAAATTACTAGTTTTGCCCCTTGTGGGTAGTTAAAACACCTTTTTGTGTTAAGCTTGTTAGCAGCAGTTGCTACTTTACAAATCCAGCAGTCATGAAGCACCAATAGCATTTATTTGAAATCATGGTTGTGTCCACCTGGTTGATGTAATGATGATGTTTTCTTTTTTATCTCTGTGTTTGGTCTCTACCAATTCCTAAAGGAAATATCTGGCTCTTTAGCTGTAAAATGTTATTTTTTCACCAGCTTTAGTTGCTAATTGTGTCTGTCTGTTGTTTGGTGGTGAACAGGTAGAGCTGCATGTTGTGGCTGAAAATGACAGTATGAGAGAGGTACAAATTAACCCAAACATAAATGTATGGCAGGAGATCTAAACTATAAAACATTTTTTAAAGCACTGTGAAGCTGGGTTTATAGGCTTATTTGTGCTTTAAGACAATGCTAATATACTGATTTTGGACAGAAATCATGTTAACAATGCTCACCATCTTCAATGAGCACAGTAAGGTTGAAAGTGGAACAGTCAATAGTTTAGCAAGTAAAATATATGTACGTTTCAGACAAATTGTAGATTTGCCCATGTGATGGTGCTAAATATAAAGCTGTTACAATTCATCGTGTGTGTTCCAATGAAATCTATTCTATATTTGTTTGGATATCTCATTCAGAGCGAAAATGGTGGACTAAGTGACCAGATCAATCATTTTGTGTTATGCTTAAATGTGTGTCTTCATTTAAAAATAAACTAGATACATTCAAACTGATTAAAACTGATTCAGGTGACACTGTGGGGGAAACCTGATTTAATTTATTCACACACAGCTTGTGCTTCTCTGTGAGATGTGAATATACAGTATATTGCAGTCAATTAACAGCAATTACACTTGGTGTCTCATGCATATGGATATGCTCTGAAGGAGAGGCAGTTTATTCAATTGGGACTTTATCTTCATAGAGTAGAGTTAGTTTCCCAGTGCAGACGCTTTCACTTGTCAGAAATGAACCATCTCACTTCTTTAAAGGGGACCTATCATGCAAAATGCACTTTGTGATGTCTTTTATACATAAATGTGTCCCCGGTGCGTCGGGGAACTCACGCAGCGTCAGAAAATAAAACCCTCTCTCTTTTCCTCCGTACCCAAATCTTTTAAAAACAGGGGTACAACGAACGGATACAGATTTGCTGCCGATATGACGTCATAGCGGCGGCGGACCCACAGAAAATTGGTATCAGAAACAATGCCTGACGTGTTTTGGACGTAATCTCGTCTTTGTTTACATTAGCAAGCCTCGCTAACACTCAGAGCTAACCTGTACTGTAGAGCACATGTGTTTAAAAAGCAGGAAATAAAAAAAGGAACTCACCTTGTGATAAACCCGCAAGAGAAAAAGCATTTGAGCTCCATACTGTTTCAGAAATAATCTTTGATGTGGTTTAGAACAGGATGGCGTTTTATCACAGCAGAATTTAACTTTATCTACGGTAGAATTCTGATCAGGCATTAGCTCCGCCTCCTCTTTTTTTTTTTTCAAGCTAAGGACCCAAAATCCGCGTTTCTCTAACAGGGCTGCAAAAGAAGTGTATGAGCAGTATGAGGCATGGCTACAATGGGTGAACTGTTTGGTATTTTAAGCAAAAAACTTCACAGACATGTTTTGTATAGGTATGGCCCTACAATATATTTTTCCAATATAGCATAATAGGTCCACTTTAAAGTTACAACCGGTGGGATCCAAAGATGAACATCGTGGCAGCCTTCAACATCTTGTTTCTCTAATTTCTTCTTCTTCTGTTTATTCCCTTCAAGAAACAGATGTCATGATGAGTCAGCTCTTGACAACAGAATTCATTTCCTTCCTGTAAAGAGGAGGAAACATGTCAATGGCGGCGCTTATAGAGAATACTCTATCTTGTGTGATGTAGAGTGAAAAGGATTTCACTTCATCATGATCTTTCACAAACCCATCCACACTGATAACACACTCCAACTGGCAATGAATACTTTCATTGTTGAAGGCACTCTTTTTTTTAATTCAACATTTTAAATTCATACTGTTGCATTGAAGTTTAAATACATTTTCAGGTATTCAAAACATTTTAACACCAACCTTATAGATATATCAATCGCAGAAGATACTTCCACATTGTATAAATGTCGGTGATATTAATTTATCTTAGTTCAGAAGGCATAAGTCATGTTGTATTTGTAATGCAGTCATGGTAGTGATCATAGAACAGAAATGTGAAAGGGTTAGCTTGCTGCAGTACTTTTCCATGGCGTTTCACTTCCTGATAACAAATCAGTGAGTCCGTTTTTTGCCAAATAAAGTAATTCCTTGTTTATTCTGATAATTTCTTTCCGTCTAAAGAGACATTTTCTTGATTGTGACAATGGGACATTTTAAAGCCACAACATGGCCACAGCTTTTAGAAATGTAAAAATTGGATACAAAATATGGTCTATGTTTTATAACCAAAGTAATACATGCCATTGCCACATATTTTTGTAAACCTTTTGTTCCGTTTCGTTTTAGCAGAGCTTGTGGTTATCATTAAGCCAAATGTGTCATCACATCCAAACTCCCACTCACACAGAATGAGTCATGGCAAATAGGACTCGTGCTTTTAGTAATAATAAGATTCAATGTAAATGAGAATAAAAGTCCCTGATTGCTCAATATTGACTGTCATGTCAACTGTCATTACACTATAAGAAGAGGTCCCATTGGAGTCGGCATGTCATTTTGTCCCTAGACAAGACAGTTCCCACCAAATTGCTCCTGTGGGGATTGCCCACAGTACTGAATGTATGTAAGTCGCTTTGGATGCATGTAATGCAATGTAATGTCATGTTTTCCTTAAGAGTAGAAGTTAATTTAGAAATTATTAAAAGTTACATAAAGCTGGTGAATAACTGAGTTAAAAAATTATAAAAAATCAAATCACCCGATTATACTGAACAAGGTTTTGACATTGAAACAGAGATTAAATAATCGTATAGGGATTGTTACAAAGCTGGAAGGCTGATATGCACTCAGTCTGTTTTTTCCATAAAGAAGAAACAGCTGTGCTGCAACCAAATTAAATAAAATTCTCCATTTACAGTGAATGGCGTGCATGTTAGGGTATGTTACTGATTTATTTGAAGCTTCATCTGGTTTTAAACACTAGAGATAATGGGTTTTCTAAAATCAATATCAAGGTTCAAGGTTCAAGGTTCTTTATTTGTCAAACGAACATAACAGTGTGTTATGTCGATGAAAATCTTGTGTCACAGGCTTCTCCAACAGTGCAACACAAAACACAGATAGGTGATATTGCACCTAAATGCATTTCATGTACATATTTGTACCAAAGGATTGTTGCTGTTGGTTATTATATTCATTGAAGTTTGTTTGAGCATTTCCCTAATTAGGATAGCTGTTAGTGTTAGTTCATTTCGCGGGCATTACCCAATAGGAGACCCGGAAAGACCCCTAAAGCGAACCTGGCAAAAGTAGCCTTCATATGGATTTGCTTTTAAAGTGATATAGTTTTCATCATAACGTCAAACCGAATCAATACATAATTTCGATGTTGAAATGTAGATAAGATTGGCTCTGCTGTTCCTCACGCGCACCTCCCCTCCCTCCTCCTCACTGTGTGTCGCACGCAGGAAAGCTCAGTCAGATGGAGACTCCGGAAAGTCCGCGTGCAAACCCAGCCGGCGTCTGTCAGCATGAACACCGTTCATATTGAGGATATTTCCACATTTATTTCACTTATTGTATTAAACAGACAGCCTTCAGGTGGTTCTCATCGCCTTCATTGGTGCTCACCATGGCTCGTGATCGGCGACACAAGAGGCGCGTGGATTGAACCGACTCAACTCCAGTGTGAGTATTTCCGTTCAACAAGATAATCTGTTACAAAAAGATTGTTTGTTATTTTAATAGTTGATCACTCAGTGTTTTACTTGTTGCTTATTTCTCACTTTTTAAATAGTTTTTATAATACATCTTTAAAATAGTGGTAATGTGTTATCAGACATTGTGACAGTATTACTTAGTATTGATCTGCTTATGTATTGAGACTGACAGCCTGTATATGCAGCCCATAGTAGCCTAAACTTTAATAAAAACTTAGGAAAGACAAATATATAATCAAAATACTGCATACAATTCTTTAATAAGTGTCCAGAAAATAGTCTTTCAATGCAATACTATGGGTTAAGGACTATGTCATGCTTGAAACTAATGTCCTCCTGGTTACATTTCCCCCCTCCGTGAACAGCTGCAGAATATCTTAGTGTCATGTCTCCAGGGGGGTAAACACTCTTGGTCTAGAAGACTGAAACAAAAACAGGACAGTGTCATGAGGCGAAGATAAACTGCTGTAAACATTTGTACACGCACTCCCAAAATCTTGCGCTTATCTTGTCATTATCATTCTGTTTATTGTAAGATAACAAACCGAAGCATTCTCCAAAACATCTCCATATTTGACAGGAGACCCTGGATAATTGATTCTATTACATGATTCCTGTTATGCACCCCAGCAAACAAGCGTTGTTCGCTTCCAGCTCATTGCCGTTTTTTAATATTTATGGTCTTGTGTGTTGATGTGTGAGATGTTTACACGCTCACAGTTTCCTTTTGACATTTAGTTCAATTTCCTCCCCTTGCTTTCCCTTTATTGAGGGACTACAGCACAGCGGTCCTCCTGACAGTTAGGCAGATGACCTTTAGGACAAACCAGCCTCCGTGGACTCTTAGTGCAGCTTCGAAATCAGTTCAGTTATTGTTAATTGGAGGGAGAAAGCTGAGGGAATGTGAAGGAGGACATGGATTTAGGGACAGCTTGTAGCCCCTCTCCACCCTCCATAACTCTCCACTAAACCATAACCCTGCTTCTAGACTGTCAGGTTTACTTGGCAAGAAGGTTGCCACCCGAGTTTACTGAACAAATGTCTGGCTGAAGCTGCCGAGATGTCAAAGCATGCCTCTTTTGGCCAGAGCTGATGCTCGGAGGATTAGGTAATGCTTAAAGTATGAGAGCGAGGGGGTTGAGCCATATCAGATTGTTTAGACTGGACTCTGGGGGTCCACCACAAATGGAAGGAAAATACTCTGTAACAGAGCGCATTGGGAATGTGGGAGGTTTGCATGATAACAAATTGTTTTGGCAACAACTCTGTGTTTCTATTTCAAGAGTTGCTAGTGTTTTACTTGAGATGAACATTTCTCAGTAATGCAAGATTGGCTCTACAGTATTTCAGTTTTCGAATGGATGATTCTTTGAAGTCAAACTCTTATCTGCAGAAGTCACTCCCTTGTTTTCCTGCTCGAGATTACTTGAGTAATTCCCCTGATTGCTGATTTTTCTTCTTTGCTTATTTTTTTTTGCAATCCGATGATGCATGTTTGAACTTGATACCTCCAAAGAACTCAAATCAAAAGTAAAAGTTCATGAAATTGTCTTTAATTAGCTGCAGAAAGACTATAGCCCCGAATGAGTCATCAGCCAAGACAAATATTTTCCCTAATGTCTAAAAGCATTAGAACGTGAGATCGGGCAATGCTTGAAGTGAAACAGAAGTCATGAGTGATTAATAACACATCATTATGTTATTGCTGCAAAAATTGCAGTGTAATTACAGGTTTCAAACCTGTGATTACTTATTAGATTTACCGAACACCTTTAAGAGGATTTTGAGTGTGGGAACAGATTTAGGTTCACATAAGTTCACAAATAAATCCTCTGATCAAGCTGCTACATGTTACACTGTCATGGTTTGTGTGAGCAAACAGGATTTATAGCAGTAGGTTGTCACAGAAGCAGGTGAACGTTGCTGACTGATTCTGTCTTCAAGCGTTTTTAACGGCTGAATTAACAGCCAAATGTTCTTGACTCAACAAAAACATATTTCAGGTTTGAGAAGAGCATTACACTTTGTTTAAGTTCAAGCTGAACTTTTGACACTCTTTGTTCCACCTTCAGATTAGGCAAATCAGTGGAAAGAATGTGATCGAATTGTTGTTTTTGTTATACTTGAATTATGGTGTTATGAACCAAAATCATTAGCTATTTATTTGCCAAAACCTTTTATTTGATGTTCTCTTAGGATCAATTGGGTCTTGACATATGCAAGTACTCTGTGGCCAGATGTTTTTCACAAAAAGGAATTGGCTTTCTCAGAATTCAATTGCAACAATTAAATCTATTGAGATCTTTTACAAGAAATGGGCTATTTCTCCATTGGCCCATGCTTCTACATTCTACCAAGTTCCATGAATATCAGGTTAGTTGTTTTTCAGTAATTCTGCGGAAAAACTGACAAATCCAACTGAAAACATAACCACCTTGGTGGAGATAAAAACGACAACAATGCAAACATATTACTGAACGTCACAAAGTTGGTAGTGAGTCTCTGGAACATGTTCTCCAGACCATACTTGCTGTATTTTTACTTTGCAATGTGGGACATTTGCCAGAAGTTAAGGTAGACTCACTTACAAATAAACTGGAAATACTCTTTAAATGACCTCAGATCCACCTCCTGCCTTTAGACATGTCCAGCCCCTCTCCCTCACACTCTTTAAACAGTAGGAAACATTTTTCAAGTGTTCTCTGCTTGTTATTATTGTCACATCGGCTTTAAAGCGCTGCTAAAGCAAACAACCTGTTCCTGTTAGAAAAACACATGCATGCAAATATACACTCTTACATGCATGAACAAATACACCGTTTAGCTTGAGAGGACAACATCTGCAGCCCAGATGTTGGTGTGGATTGTGGTGACCTGGCTGATCAAGACAGACACAAGAGGTTTAATATTTCTAGAGCTTTTCTTAGCATGCGTCTGCTTTGTTTAGACTGTCCTCATGCTTCAACCGCCTGCTTGTTTAACAGATTAAGAAGTTCAATTCCTAAGATGGCAACCGTCATTTTCCAGTGACAGAAACTCAACCTGCTCATACAGTACCTCCTCTTAGTAAGGAGTGAAAAAGAAGGGGAGGGAGGCAGTCCACTTCCTGATATATTTGTGCTCTTAGAAAGGTTTTAGATTTCCTGCCAAAAATGTGTCCATTATCTGATTATGGAAATGGCCTGAGAAAGATAACTCCCAGCAAGGAGGTTTATTCAAATCATTTTTACATTTTGTCTATTATCACTGCAGTTTGGTATCCCATCCATCTTTGTTTGACTTCCCTATCAACAGGGAGGCCGTTTTATTTCCTTTTGTGGCATTAGTTTCTCTTGTACCTCCCATTTCCCAACGCTGGGATTCAGCCAAGTCCCAGTCACAGAGTGTACTGTACAAGGTCAGGATGTGTTTACACAGTTACAAACATGAAGACATGAATAAACCTGTTCAGTAGATGTGAGAGTTTGTGTATAATGAGTGCTGGTTCTTGTAACAGATTGTGTCCTCGTCATGTTGGATTCTTTCAAGGTGTTCTTCACATTCGTAGAAGCTCCATTTCATGCTGAAATGTAAAAAGAAAGATGCTAAACTGAGCAGTATGTCTTCATACAGCATGCAGCATTTTGTCTCTGGAAGAGCTCTGCAGGGATGCTGATTTTCAATCGCTTTCATTTCTTTGCAGCAGAGACTCAGTTGAGGCTGATTGGAATCATTTAGTCTTTTCTGAGCCTTATTTTCTGCCTTGAGTCAAGATTTCCGATGAGCTAACAAACAACCCAACCCATAGCATTAGCAACACGAGTAATATCTCATTCTCTCTTTGATAAATGAGTCTTGACATTTCGTGCACTTAGGACAACAAAGGCCTCTAATGCAATGATGAATGCAGGCTTTTATTTTGAGTCAGCAGAATTTTGATGATGGACTTTCACCTCAGTCAATCCCACCTGCTGTTTTTCTTCCCGCCGCAGATCGATTTTTGGCCTAAGAGGTCTAAAAGGCTATCTCTCCTGCTCTTTCTCACACTGTTCTTTTTCATCTCTGCTCCTTCATTTCTTCATATTGTGATTTACCCTTGACTCAGTGTCCTCTTTATGCTCTGTCACGTTTCCAAATCTCTCTCTTCTCTCTCTCATGTGGAATTTTTCTTCAGACATCAATCTTGATGTATGGCTTCAGATATCAAAGAGGATATGAATTACCTCCATTTGTAGAAATACAAATGCAGAGGCATGATCAAAATGAGATAAGAGAACAGAAATATGATGTTTAACACATCATTAAAACAGGGCTATAGGGCAGATATCAGGATTGGTAGAAGCAGCATCCTTTACAAATAACGTCAAACTGTTAACCACTGTAGATGTCAAAGTAGTGTTAAGCAAGTAAGTTGTTGACATTTTAGATAACGCACCGCAGATATTTCATTAAATGGGGCACATAGCACACTAGAGGCATTACAAAAAGGTATTTGTCCAATCCGACGCAGGCCTGCAGATATGGCCATGCATTCCTTGTATGTCTGGAAGGGCTCAGAGCTGTCCCATTATGGACTCTGCCTTTGAAAAGTCCTTTGAGCACACATTCGGCAGGTCCCCACTCATGCAGAATTAGCTTAAGAAAGAATTTACGTGCACACAGGTCAAAAGCATGCAATGAATGTTTAGATGCTATAAATATGACGCCTGAAAATGTCTTAAAGGGGTACTCAACAATACAGTGTATCACGTCCATAAAGTTTTGGGACTAATAGGATAGGATTCAATCTAGCACAGACGGAGATATTCTGAGTGCTTCAAGCTCAAAAACACTTGATCCTACACGTCCCATAATGCAGCTTTATAGTTTCTTTCTTTGAACTCAAACCAGTTTTGTCACCTAACGTGACTAAGATGGAGTAGCACTCAATGTGACTGAGAATTTTCACCTTTAATGATGTAAGTGTGAACATGTTCCACAATGTTGGCCGCACGTTAACAGGCCCCTGTTGTGCAATAAGAAACACATTGTTAAATTACAGAGTTCACTACAACTGGTGCAGGATTTCATTCACAGCTCCTATGGGATTGTTAAAACTCTGCAACAAAAGGAATACATCACTGGCTGAGGAAGTGTCTGAGAAGTGTTTTAAAAACATTTTACACTTCAATGTCTGGAATTCATTTGCACTGGGCATCAGAAGTAATAATGCACACTTTATTTTTATTCATGCGGCGGGAAAAGAAAACAAAGCGTGTGCCCTTGCGTCATTGCGTGTCCACCTGTATCAATACCTCACTTGGTTCTCTCAGTGAAAAACCTTGATCTTGAAAATTGTATTTCCAGGTTAACAAAATAAAGCTCTCAGCGGGCTTTTAGCTCACACAGAATAATCGTGTGTTTTTAGTGTTGAATTACAGAGTAACTATTATTCTGACCTTGAAAGTCTCTTAATAGAGCTTGTCCTTGCGTGTGCTATATAGCCCTCATCATAAAGCAAGGGATCTCCATTCAGCAAGACCACACACACTCTGCAGCTGACCTCAAACATCTTGCATGCTTCTGAATATAGCTGCAAATGTACCTACTGTACTGATGCCTCCGAGGGGAATTAAGCTCCCTAAAATACCCTAATATTAAAACATCTTTACACCACCTCTCTAGGAATTATGGTAGATGACTGAAATAATTCAAAGGAAGCTACACTGCTCATGTTTGTGTAGGAAGCCTGACGTTTTTCACAACTGTTTCTGATTTGCAGGAGGCCCTCCTGAAGACTGCAGAGCCAGAAAGAAATGAAGACAAATGATGAGCTGCAGATTGAAACCTTTGAAGAATGGACACATCAGGACATGAAACCTCCTGTAGGTGAAACCTGAGCTCTTTGAGGGAATAAATCTCCTCTTTTACATGCCTACTCCGCTTCTATGTCAGTATGTCACTATCGGACTGCAAATATGGGAGCAACACCCACACGGACTACACTCACAGCCTCCACAGCTTGCCCATGGCTGAGAACTATGGGAAAAGGCCCGTCAGGACATCGTTTGACGTGAATACAAATCTGGATATCAAGTGGTCGCTGAGAAACCTGAGGAGCATCTCGAAAGTGAAAGTGGTTAGCTTCCTGATGGGCTTGACTCTGACCTTCCTCATCACGGCTTCCTACATCCTAACGTGGGACAGGAAGGGACTTTTGCTCACCCCCTCACCCTATCAGCTCAGACCTGTGGTCGTCCTGACAAGCACAGCAGCAGCCGAAGCTCCCTCTGGAAATGATTTAATAGCCATGAAACTGCTGGTGAAGAATATCAGCTCTAAACTGGAATACACACCCAGGAAGGTGCCTGATGAAAAGGATGTCATTGGAACGGACTCCAATGTAAGTCTGTGGAAAATTGGTCTGACTCATTTAGCTGTAGAAAAGTGAGCCAACTAAAATAAGGGATGTTTTTGTTATGGTTCCACGCTGCGATTATGCAATGTTTTCTCTCAAAAACACGCTGGTAAATGATCATTAAGGCTACAATGGAAAATGTTAATCATTTTTTTGTTGAAGAAAATGAACTGTAAGAGACGCACAAATAACAAACAGCGTAGAGTTAACCCTGCAGTAAATGCCTATTTGGTGAAGCTCATAATGAGCAGTGTTAGTTGAGACTGACAGAGGTGTTGATTACACTTAGAGCCAAAGTTCGTACAGCTGTTGGGTAAATATCACGTTTCATGTGTTGCTCAGGACCCACTGAGTGTGTTTACTATGTGCTAATGTGCTGTAATTCTCCTATGTTTTAGTGTATGTTCTCATCATGCTTCTCCACATTACCCCCCATCATTTGACAGTCTGTATGGCTAAGGCAACTCTGACATTAACACTGAAATTACAATAACGGAGATAGCCACACAAGTGAGTCATTAAGTCAAGCTACCAATTCGTTTTTAATGCCTGAATATGTAATGTTGAGTCTTTCAAAGCAACCTAATGCAACTAAAAGCTGCAAAATCATGTAATTTGGCATTTCATTATGAATGTTTTGATACTTTTAATGAAAACTTGTTGCTGCTGACGGATAGTTTAAATTACATGATTCAAAGACGCTTCTAAAGAAAATAGAATGCGCTGTGTAAGACGCCATCTTCACGATCATGAAAAATGTCACCTTTTAGATAACTTCAGAAAATACTTCTCCCAATCCTGATTGTGTGTTTTACAGTATGGTGCCTTAATTTAGTTGTTTTCCTCTCCGCAGCTGTTCTCTGTAATTCCTCGCCACTTCCTGCCGGGCATTAAGAGCCCTTGCTGGTATGAGGAGTTCTCCAGTGAACGCAGCACTGATCTGTACCGGAGGAACCTCTTCACTCGGCGCTCAAAGACCTTCAAGACTGTGTGTGACCACCTGAGGACTAACTTCCAGCAGCACTTATTTCACAGCGGAAGCAAAGTGTTTCGCCTACGCTGCTTACCGTACTTCTACATCATCGGACAGCCGAAGTGCGGCACGACGGACTTGTTCCACAGGCTACTGCTGCACCCAGAGGTCAAGTTCAACACCATGAAGGAGCCGCACTGGTGGACCAGGAAACGCTTCGGTAAGTCATCAGGAGGGGGAGGGTGTTTCATAATATGTTGAGGATGATGGTGGAAGCTAGTAGATTGAAAGACAGGTCTAACTGTTTGTTCAATTAATCAAAAAAAAGGAAAAAGATAGCATAACATACACTGTAAAGTTTAGTACATTAATTGAATAAAAGAAGCAACTGTTTTGGTATTCAATCAGGTTTGGTCCTGTTAGGATGCTGTTCATTAGGCAAGGCAAGGCAAGGCAAGGCAAGGCAAGGCAAGGCAAGGCAAGGCAAGGCAAGGCAAGGCAAGTTTATTTATATAGCACCTTTCAACACAAGGCAATTCAAAGTGCTTTACAAAAATGGAAGACATTAAGAAAATGGCATTTAAAATCAGTCATTAAAAAGAAAAGATAATAAAATAAACATTAAAAGAAAAAATACATGGATAAAAGTTACAGTGCAGTTTAAGATGTAAATAGTTCAATTAAAAGCAGCGGCAAAAAGAAAAGTCTTCAGCCTGGATTTAAAAGTAGTAAGAGTTGCAGCGGACCTGCAGGTTTCTGGGAGTTTGTTCCAGATATTTGGAGCATAATAACTGAACGCTGCTTTACCATGTTTAGTTCTGACTCTGGGGACAGAAAGCTGACCAGTCCCTGAAGACCTGAGAGTTCTGGATGGTTCATAATTTAGCAGTAGGTCAGACATGTATTTTGGGCCTAAACCATTCAAAGCTTTATAAACCAGCAACAATATTTTGAAATCTATTCTTTGACACACAGGAAGCCAGTGTAAGGACTTCAGAACAGGAGTGATGTGATCCACTTTCTTAGTGTTAGTGAGGACTCGAGCAGCGGCGTTCTGAATTAGCTGCAGCTTTCTAATATATTTTTTAGTGAGACCTGTAAAGACACCATTGCAGTAGTCGAGTCTACTGAAGATAAAAGCATGGACAAGTTTTTCCAAATCCTGTTCTTTAGGTGATAGTAGGCTGATTTAGTAACTGTTTTAATGTGACTGTTGAAACTCAGGTCAGAGTCCATGACTACACCTAGATTTCTGGCTTTATCTGTTGTTTTGAACATTGCAGACTGAAGCTCAGCGCTAACTTTTATACGTTCTGCCTTGGCTCCAAAAACCATTACCTCAGTTTTATCTTTGTTTAATTGGAGAAAGTTCTGACACATCCAGTCATTGATTTGTTCAATGCACTTACTCAGTGTTTGAATTGGAGCATAATCTCCTGGTGAAATTGTTACGTAAATTTGTGTGTCATCCGCATAGCTATGGTAACTTATTTTGTTGTTTTTCATTATCTGAGCCAGTGGTAGCATGTAGATGTTAAAGAGAAGAGGCCCCAAGATGGAGCCTTGAGGTACCCCACATGTCATATTTGTCAACTCAGATGTGTATTTACCTATAGAAACAAAGTTTTTTCTGTCCTTTAAGTAGGACTCAAACCAATTTAGAACTGTTGCCGAAAGTCCCACCCAGTTTTCTAGTCGGTCTAGTAATATGTTGTGGTCAACAGTGTCAAACGCAGCACTGAGATCTAATAATACTAACACTGAAGTTCTGCCACTGTCTGTGTTTAAGTGGATGTCATTGAAGACCTTTACAAGAGCAGTCTCAGTGCTGTGGTTTGGACGAAATCCTGACTGGAACATGGACATTAGACCATTTATTAAAAAAAACTCTGTGGTTTGAAGCATTAAATCTTGATTCAGAATCCATAATCAAAAGAAAAGAAAGAGAACCAAATTTATAACTGTATATTCTAAATCAATACTATGAGAAAACACAGATAAACTGCACTGCAGATGCTTCATAATACAAATCTGCAAACATTGTATTCCCTCTAGAGAGCTTTTAATTTGAGTTACTGTTAGTTGTCTCTATTCTAATATTGCATACAGGAAATATTATTATTCAAATAACATTTCCTGTATGCAGTGGCTGAATATTAATTGTTTGTGCATGTAATCATTTTGCGAAACGTAGTAAAATGCTTTGATGTCTATAAAAGTGTGCATAATAACACTTTTTATGTTGGTGTTTTTTGGGGTTCAGGTTATATTCGTTTCAAAGATGGCTTCCAGGAAAGTTTTCCTGTGGAAGATTACCTGGATCTGTTTGACTTGGCTGCCCAAAACATCCAAGAAGGAATCAGTGGAAATTCATCTGGAGACCACCGCACACTAATAACAGGTGTGTGTGTGTGTGTGTGTGTGTGTGTGTGTGTGTGTGTGTGTGTGTGTGTGTGTGTGTGTGTGTGTGTGTGTGTGTGTGTGTGTGTGTGTGTGTGTGTGTGTGTGTGTGTGTGTGTGTGTGTGTGTGTGTGTGTGTGTGTGTGTGTGTGTGTGTGTGTGTGTGTGTGTGTGTGTGTGGTTATTACTGTCCATTGTGTGGATGGAATAACCTTTAAAGCCTTCATTTCTTTCTTCTGAGGACATTTGAACTGCCGAACACTTGGATTCTGACCATGATTCAAATCACAGGTGTCTCTTGTTTTCCTTCCCTTTATTCCCTTCTCATAAGTGTCTCTGACCACAGGAGCACTTCAGTGACGCACACGTTATTAAAGATATTCTGTGGTCTAGGAATTTCAAACACCCGTTTCTTCCACAACAACCTTTATTCACTCTTCATGCATCTGTGATTATAAATGAGCTTCACACAAACTCTGGGCCTGGCCCCGAGAGACACTAGATAATAACCCCGAATAAACAATGACTTTTTTTCAGAGTCGAGTAGTATTGATTTTATGAGGGTCAATCTCTTATATTAACTTAGTTTTGTAGGTGTTCTTTAAAAATGTGCTTCTTTGCCTTGGTTTCTGAAGTAAATCAAACTGTGTTATGTATTTGTATTGGTACTGATAATATATTAATTCATTAAAAAAAATCTAAAAGGTGCAACTGCCCGGTCACAAATCATTTTAAGCGTTCATTTGAAGGGCATCGTTTTTTCAGATAAGTAAGGCTTCACTTGCAAGGACCTCAACAATATTTCTTTTAAAGTGAAGGGATGTAGGGAGCGAGGGATGAATTTATGAAGGATGGAGGGATGAAGGGTCCAAGAGAGGTAGGGAGGGATAAAGGGATGAGGGTAGAGATGAGGTAGTAAGGAAAATGGATGAGTGAGGGGAAAAGGGTGTCTGTAGAAGTAGATTAGCAGGTTATCTGAGGCCTGGCCCGGCTCCCAAATCGTAGTCAATTTATTACCCTCATGTGTTCAACATTCAATCTCAACTTTGCTGTTTTATGCCTAAATGTCAGCCCTTCTTGCATTTTAAATGAACTGTTTTTGACCCGAGGTGATGCTCAGACTGCCAATGTCCTCACAGGTGAAGCCAGTGCTTCCACGATGTGGGACAACCAGGCCTGGAGCTACCTTCCCTCAGACAGGGAGGGGACCGAGCCCCCCTTCCTGGCCCAGGACTTCATCCACACAATCCAGCCTGGCGCCAAGATCCTCATCATGCTTAGAGATCCAGTAGAAAGGTGCTGTGGAGAAATCCATCTGCCTGTGTATATTCAGATGTGATTTTCCATTTTGGATTCCTTCTAAAAGATTTTCCTTCAGAGGATATTTGTTTTAAATCATAACACATTTTGTCCATCCAGTAAAATGTCCTTTCGAAGTTCCAACTGGCTGACAACTCTGTTTCCTTCTGTTCCCAGACTTTATTCGGACTACCTGTACTTCAAGATGGCCAACAAGTCAGCAGAGGACTTCCATCAGAAGGTCGTGGACTCTGTACATCTGTTTCAGTCCTGCCTGTCTGAGAGGTCACTTCGTTCCTGCGTCTACCACACCAGCCTCTCCTACTCTATGCCGGTTAGCTGAAAGGATTCTCACTTTTCACTGTTTGAATATCAGTTTGCATATAAATACTATAAATACCTTAAGTCATTATTGAAAGCTAACAAAATCTAAATTTTTCTTTCTATATCCACATAGAAATACATTTATTTTTTTTAAGAAACGAAAGTAAATGCATCCAAATACTTCAAAAATAGTCAGTTTTTCTCCAAATTCCAAACTAAATCATAAAATCTGTCCATCTCTTTTCTGAATGTTCCTGAAATGTTTCCAATTGAGTACACTTGCCTGCCTATTTACCTGTCATTGGTGTACAGTAGTAAGTGTGGCAGTAGTTTGAGTTAGGATAAAGTTATCTCTTTGTTCCACCAATAAAGGGATAGGCAGAAAACAAGTCGTCCTCCTTTCCATGGCTTCATCATAGTAACAGCAGGTCTAATGGTAAATCTATTTCCAGAAAGGCAAGTGTGTCTGTATGAAGTGGAGTGGTTTTAAATTACATTTACGGCACTCTCCTTCTGTACAGGAGAAAATACAACCTACTAGCTGACCAGAGTCACCTCAGTTTATATCCTATCCGGCAGCGCTCCCTCAGGAGGAAGCTGAGTTATGAGCGCTGTCGGTGTCACCCCTAATCACAACATGTCTGTGACAGCACCGTTATCCAGGCAGATTTACTACAGTAAAAAGCAGCAATCATCTCGACCTGAAACCATTGGAACAGAAACAGAATCCATCAAATCTAACAAAAACATTCAGAAAACACCCTTACGTTCTCTTTGTTTGCATGACTTTGTTTACTGTTATGGATGAGTTGAAGATGAAGCTTTCAAAATCCACAACAATTTATTTTTAGTCTGGTGTGGCACTTTGCTGCCCTCTTGAGGACTCTGAGTGTCTGTGTCAGGAATTTAAACAACAAGAGTGAATTTAAAATCCTTTAAGTGTGAGTAAAACATAAAAGTATTTGGTGTCACTTTACTGAATATATATTATTTTTAGTCAAATTTGTTTGACACTTAAAGATTTAAAGACACTTATGCGCATTAAATAATATGCATTTTGTGTTTTCATTAGCTTTGTTGACAAATCAAAAGCTTATAATTTCACCAAGCTATATTCTCAAAATCCAATTTCTCAACTAATATTGTTTACATTATTTTGACGGACACATGTGCGTCTGCTGTTGACTTTTCCCTCACCACACAACACTTAAAGGACTTATTTTTTATGTTTATACAACATTTGACATTGAAATTCACTTTTGATATTGGAAACAACAGTTTACCAAACATTCTCACTACAAGAGACTCACAATGTTACTTTTTTCCCCCATAGGTGAGGCTACATTTAGGGTTGTACATCATCTTCTTGCTGGACTGGCTGACAGTTTTCAACAGAGAGCAGATTCTAGTTCTTCGACTCGAGGACTACGCAGCCAACCTTGAAGTGACAATCAAGAAAGTCTTTGATTTCTTGAGTGTAGGTACGTATCCAAAAAGCACCTTTTATCTTTCAGGCAGTTTTTCCATGTGGTTGTCTCTGCCTCACGCCTTCACATCAGTATTGTTAAGGTCTCTGTTATCCTCCCTGCAGGCCCTATGTCGCAGCAGGGGGAGGCAGCGCTCACCAGACGGCCCCTCTCTAACACCCGGAGGACAGCAGACAGGAACCTGGGTCCTATGCTTCCAGCCACCAGAGACTTTCTCAGGGAATTTCACAAACCCTTCAATCATAAACTGGCCAGTGTGTTGGACAATAAAGCCTTCCTCTGGAGTAACACCTGAAGGAGCATGGACCATTAGTTGATGGTTGTGAATTAGCAAACAGAAAAGAGGTAAAGCAGGACTTTATAAGGTAATGTACAGCTGGAGAACTCAAACACAGTGCATAGTTGTATATCGAGTTAAATGAAGGTCTGATTTAGTGTATGGGTTTTAGTTGTGATATTTATTTGATCTTGAAAGAATGTGAGTGACAAGAAGATGATAATAAAATAAGATTCATTTGTGTTTTAATTTGATGCTTTGGTTGTGTAGAAAATCCATTCCAAATGCACCACAAATTCACAAATCTTCAATTCTGGAGTTTCAGTTATGGCTTAAAATACCAGGTTGAATATCATGTGATCATGATCATGGGATTACATTTAACAAGAAAGATCCTCAGAAAAAGTTTACTTGTTACTTTGTTTGTCATTGCATCTAAGAAAAATTATCTAGAGTCGTATGAAAGGGATACATATTATTAAAGTGATTTCACAGGGCTGGTTTGTCCACAGTCATCAAAAAAGCATTTTAAAAACCCGATAATGTAGACATCATGTTCTAGGAATAATCACAAGAGGGCAGCAAAACACAAAACTTCACTAACTCATAATCCAAACACACTTTTTCCTGCCATGATATCTCACACTGTTAAATGTCAAATACAATACAAGTCAAAACAGCCACTAAGAATTATAAATCATATTTTGTTTTCTCAGTTATGAAGGTAAAATGTGTTTAGGGCCAGTGTACACATCATCAGATATACAAACATGTATAGTACACAACACGAATACAGTATAATCTAACCAAAAGAAACAGTTGGGACCTGATTACCCGACTATCAGGAATTCAAATTCCTCCATAACTGTATTTACAATCAGTCTAAAATATTTAGACAGAATATCAAATGGACAAAGTAAAAAAATTGATGCAACCTCTTCTTACATAGGTTCCCATAATGTGCCAATAAATCCATATTTGTATACAGATGCACCATAAAATATCTGATGAAAGGGCAGAGCTTTAATATATAATGATTATGAGAGCGTTGGGTTGTGGGAACCTGCTTTTTAACTGAAATATTATCTATGCAAGATGTTTTAATTTAGTTGATTCCATTGATAACAAAAGAATTGTATCCGTAATCTATGATCTCATTTCTCAACCTGATGATTTAGTCCTTTTTTTAGGATACAATAGGAAAATCTTATGTGTCATACTTATACAAGCATTGCTTTTAAAGAGCTTTCATGAAACTTTCCGGAAAGTCATTTGCTTAGATAATTTTGTAATATGTTTCTCATAAATCCGCCTGAGGGCCATGACATAAAGAGCGACATGCAAATAAATGCAGGCAAATTGACAAGATTTATTGCGATAATGGAATTTAATAAGAAGTACATTTGCATCCGAGGTGTGTTTGTCTGGTCTCAGTATAGTGTAAGTCTAGATCTAGCCTACGTGGATAATATAGGGGTGGGAGGGGTGTAAAGCGGAATACAATACCAAATGCCAAACAAAGGGGTGCAGACTGGGAAGAGGAAATAATTATTCTGAATGCCAAGGCCTTTGCATCCTGTAGGAGCTGAGAAAAAAATACTATTTTAGCTTCATTTTCTCTCGCCTATAATCCCAAACACTCCTTTTTACAGACGATTGTGTGTTATATGATAAACTGCTTGTTTTAATGACTACATTACTTAAAGTGTGCCGTCAGATCTGTCTTTTCTTAAACAGATCTTTACATGTAAACACTTATACTGATTTATCATTATTCAACCCTTTACTGTGCCTCACTTGAAAGGTTGATTTCCTATTAACGACATTTCCATTACAAGTAAAAATGTCCCTCAGTCATTGTCAACATGCACTTATTGAGGAAAGGAAATCAAAGATAAGAGATTAAGGAGGGCTCTGTGCCAGAAAGTCACCTTTTTTTAGCGCTTTAATTATGTGCATTTACAATGTGATTGGTCTCACGGATAAGGAGCCGCAGAGAGAGAAAGGTAGTCAGTCCTGGCTGATTGCCCTCTTCATGAGATATTGATGTTACTCCTCTCCAGGATTTTCAAAGGCGGAAGAAACCGATGAAGTGTCTTTAGACATTCCTTCATTTTATCAAGGAGGTTAGACATCCTATTGTGCAAACATGGGTGCACATTTGTGTGGATGTATTTCAGGAAAATGATGTAAGGGTCCACTGATCACCCTTTATTCCTTTTCACACACATGTTCACATTTTCACACCAGGGAACTGACAATAAAACACATTACCAGAATCATATAATGCCAACTAAATGTATTAACTGAAATAAAATCTTCCCGCCTGAAAATATTTGTTACAGGTAGCGGTTCAAAGTAAGAGCAACATGTTGTTGTTTTTAAAAATCTTGCTTGGCTTTGGGTTTCAACAGAGCAAACTTGAAAAGAAATACAAAAAGACTAAATACTTCAGTCCAAGTCTACATTAGTGATGAGCGAAAAACAACCCACTTATCTGCAGACATGTCCACTTCAACCACAAAAGTCTGCACTTACTGGAAAATATGTTTTGCAGACAAGGTAGGAACAAATGATGCTGTTGCTATGCTGTTTTTGCATCATCGTTTTTTATGAGTTCTTAATTTTCCTCTTTCAAACTGTTGCTTCTTCAATGAAAGTTTAAAAAGTCCCTTGCCGACAATGATGTAAACATTTGTGAGCATTTTAAGAATATACAACCAAATTCACATTGTACAAAACAGGTATTTTCAGGTAGCACATTAACGTATCAAGCTTCTGCAATTTAGTTGTCAGCTGTACGTAGATCAGCAAATTGCAGACATCTGTCATTATCATTCAGAGGGATACTCAGCCCTATTAATCCAATTATAGGATGCTCTCACTCTACTCCAATCAGACCTGATTGTGAATCAGTCTCATAACTGAAACGTCACAAACATTTGGAGATTCATATGGTCATTTTTAAAACATGATCATGACCCATTTTTACAGTTTTGACAGAAGGCTGCTATTAAAGGGGCACCACTTAACTTGACATAATCACTGGCTGGCTGTAATCCAATAGGGAACAAAAACTCTTTGAACCAGTGTGTGTGTGTTTAGGTCAAAAAGGTGACGTGCACTTACACTGCCAACTGAACAGGTAACTTTTCTGCTCAAAGAAAAAGAAAACATGTTTAGTTTATAGCAGGACATTGTGAGCCAACACAAGACTGCAGCTAGCATTAACAACAAAACCCTCACTAGCTAAGACAGGACAAATCCACAAAATATACCACATTTCAGTATTTCAGAATCTTTTAGATATATTAGATGTACAAAATGATGTGCTACATATACAGATTATTCCTTGATTGATTATTGTTTGATATCAGAAAAAAAAGAAGGAAAACTATTGTTAAAAAGGCAAAACTATTAATCCAATCTAAATATTACATTCAAGGAAATGTCATTTGAATGCAGGACATCATTGAATATGAAAAGGTGAAACACATGTTTGTTGCTGTCCCAGGAGTGTTTCTATATATGGAACAGCTCCAGGATTATCACCACAGTCTTTCTTTGTTGTTAATATACACAGATAGTTAGGAATGTGTGCGTCTTAATCTTTTATACAGAGTAGAACGCAAACATCTAACCCCTGTTGAACCAGCCTTGTGTTGCAGATGTGCATCATGTGCACAGCAGTTTCCTCACGCTGACCCTGCAGCAGCAACAACAGTCGGCTGCATCTGAAGGCGACATGTCTGGCTTCATGCTCGCGGAGACAGAGTGAAAGAATGATGGAGACAAATCTCTGTGTACTTCTGGGGCCGAGCAGAGGCAATCATTCATGGTTGAACTCTACTATGACTTCAATTTCAGTGAAAGGAAACTCATCCGGCTATCTCATTTGATTGCACAATAGAGAGGCCCGCTGCTAGGGCTCTGTTTATTTCATCCTGCTAAAATGGAAAAAGGCAACACTTTTGTGAATTGTTTTTGTAACAAAGACAAGTACATATGCTACACTATATGAAGGACAATCTGTAAAAAGACACTATTGCCACACGTATGTTAACACGTATTTATGCTTTACCAATACACAGGCAAATAATCAATAACAGTCTCACTGGCCAAAGCTGAATTGTTTTGAACTCTTTGTGACTAAGTGCTAATGTTTCATAATTGCTCATGCTTATCACTTCTTTCTTTTGCCCGTGTTTTCCATCTTTAAAAAACACTGTAGATTAAGGCAATAGTTGAACTGAAGCATTAAACCATTTTGGTGAATAATTATTTTTCCACGGCAGTGATGCAAATAATTACACACGTGCTATATGCATGTTACTGCGCCGTGATGATGATATTGTGACGTTCGCGAGGGCACAGCAGTGAGTGACTCTGGAAGATTTAATTAAAGGTCGATGTGGCAAGTGTTGCTGTGCTTTAACACTCGAGGATAGATAGAAGACACTGCCGTCTTTAGAGGGCTAAGTAGTGACTGAAAATAGGAGGACTTAATATTATTACACCTCAAAGTAGTTCCAGGAAACAGTTTGTTCGAAGTCAATGTGCTACAGTAAATATAAGAAAATGAAGATACTCAAGCAAGAGAAACCATACGAAACATGAACATCCCTTCATGATGGACATGGTTAATGTTTGATCCCTGGATCCTTTAAACCCTTTCAAATGTTAACCTGATAGAAGATCTGAATCATACCTAAAATGTATACAATTGCCTTGCTGCTTTTGAGGTATATAAACATGTGTTTAAGTGGCATTTTGGCAAATTTCTTCTCACTTTGACTTCTAAACCCAAATCTTCAAATGTACAACTCTTCTTTCACACACACACAGACACGCACATCAAAGGTTACATGGCCCTGAAACCATGACAACTTGGTTATTTGTGTATTATTCTTCAGGGTTGGGCCACAGTTGTCAAGTCTGATAATATTTTGCATATAACATATTTAAATCTCCCTACAGAAAATGTCTTCTGTAAGAAAGAGAAACTTGCAAAAAAAATGTCCTCCCACAAATGAGCTTCAATGCCATTTTGGAAAACATCAGCAAATCACAACATGTGAAGTTTGAGCTTCCAGAAATATGTCCACCTCCGAGGTTGTGAATAGCACATTGGGGGGACATTCATACGAATATGTTTATTGCTTAAGAGAGTACAGATAAGGTTGAGAAGGATACCAGCCGTTTTTTGTTGCTATTCGGACATAAACACAAGACAAGTTCACATTTAAGATTTAGT